TCACATTTTAACCAGGTTAAAGCTAGAGGGGTCCATTCTGAAGGTCCCTGTAAACCTTGAGTTCTTTATGACTCCAATATTTTGTATCCTGGAAGATGATCCAACTTCTGAAAGAGCTATGTCTGATGTATGCCACAGTTGTCTGTGCTAGGGTAATTCAGGTGACCATTTGGCTAAGTTTGACCAGAGTTTTAATAACATAATAGTAAAGTCATATGCAGGAATAAAGTTGAAGAACAGTGCATGGCGATTTTGTACGGAGTCTATGTGTACAAGTGAAACCCCAGGTCTTCCTTCTGGGCTTTGCAGGAGAGGCATTCTAACGGTTTGACTTTGACTTGTACTTGGCAGCCCCTCCAGTATAGGAGGGAAATGAAGCCTACCAGGCAGTGACTCCCTGGAGCCTTCTCTCAGCTTGTTTGCCAATCAGACATTTTAGAAGTAGCCACATTGATTGTATGATCTCACAATCCTGCCTTGACTGCTGGATTTAGGATTTTCTTTTAAAAAATAAGGTAAGTATGATTTATCTACAGTCCTGTTCCAGATTGCAAGTGTTCAGTTAGCTAAATTTTGACAATTTGAATACTGCATGTAACTACCACCCAAAACAAGAGGTGGAACATTTTTATCACCCCAGAACATTCTTTCATGTGTTTCCAGTCAATCTTCTCCCTCCCTGCCCTCCTCCCAAATAGGCAATCGCTCTTCTAATTTCTATCACTATAGGTTATTTTGTCTATTCCTTAACTTTAAGTAAGTGAAATCATACAGTATCTGGCTAATTTCACTCAATGCAGTTTTAAAACATTGATACATAATATATGGACATATGGGTTAAACGTGCTATTTTGTTACATGGATAGCAACAAAATAATGATCATATAATGATCAAATCAGGGTATTTAGGATATCCCTCACCTTGAGTGTTTATCATTTCTATGTATTGGGGGACATTTCAAGACTTCTAGCTATTTTGAAATATACAATATATTTTTGTTAACTATAGTCACCCTACTCTGCTTTCAAACATTAGAACTTATTCCTTCTATCTAATTGTATGTTTGTATCCATTAACCAACCTCTCTTCCTTGATCCTATCCCCCACACCCGACATGCACCCATCTCAGTCTCTGGTGACTATAATTCTACTCTCTATCTCCGTGAGATTAACTGTTTAAGCGCCCACATGTGAATGAGAACGTGCAATATTTATCTTTCTGTGCCTGACTTATTTCCCTTAACATAAGGGCCTCTAGTTCCATTCAGGTTGCTGCGAATGACTGGATTTCATTCTTTTTTATGACCAGTTAAACTTTTCAATATGTATATATACCATATATTACCATATATTCTTGATTCATTCATCTGCTGATGGGCACTTAGGTGGCTTCCGTAGCTTAGCTATTGTGAATAGTACTGCAATAAACATACACACACACACATATATATGTGTATATATATGTGTGTATATATATATTTGTAGCTATTGTAAATGGGATTGCCTTCTTTCTTTCTCAGCTCATTTGTTATTGGTGTATATAAATGCTACTGATTTTCTAAATGTTGATTTTGTATCCTGAAACTTTACAGAATTTATTTATCAGATTTAAGAGTCTTTTGGGGGAGTCTTTAGATTTTTCTAGCTATAAGATTATGTCATCTGCAAAGAGGAACAATTTGACTTCCTCTGCACTAATTTGGATGCCTTTTATTTCTTTCTCTTTCTTGATTGCTCTGGGTAGGACTTCTAGTACTGTGTTGAATAGAAGTAGTAAAGTGGGCATCCTTTTCTCATTCCAGTTCTTAGAGGAAAGGCTTTCAGCTTTTCCTCATTCAATGTGGTGTTAGCTGTGGGTTTTTCATTTATGGTCTTTATTATGTTGAGGTATGTTTCTTCTATGCCTAGTCTGTTGAAGGGATGTTAAATTTGAGGATCATGTGCTTTCTGTCCTTCATTCTCATGATGTGATGTATCACATTGATTGATTTGGGTATGTTGAACTATCCTTGCATGAATGGGATAAATTCCATTTGATCATGATGTATATCTTTTTCATGTGGCTGTTGGATTCAGTTTGCTAGCATTTTATTGAGGATTTTTGTGTCTATGTTCATCAGGGACATTGGATATTTTCTTTTTTTTGTTGTGTCCTTGTCTGGTGTTGGTATTAGGATAATGCTAGCTTTGTAAATGTGTTAGGGAGAATTCCCTCTCCTTCAATTTTTTGGAATAGCTTGAGGAGAATTGGTGTTAGTTCTTCTTTATAAGTTTGGTAGAATTTGGCAGTGGCTTCATAAATTATTTGCAATTCTTCTGCATGGGAGATTTATATTTAATTTTTAAGAAACTGACAAACAATTTTCTTTTTTTTTCTTTTATTATACTTTAAGTTCTGGGATACATGTGCAGAACATGCAGGTTTGTTACATAGGTATACACGTGCCATGGTGGTTTACTGCACCCATCAACCCTCATCTACGTTAGGTATTTCTCCTAATGCTCTCCCTTTCCTAGCCCCCCCAGCCCTGGCAGGCCCTGGTGTGTGAAGTTGCCCTCCCTGTGTCCATGTGTTCTCATTGTTCAACTCCCACTTGTGAGTGAGAACATGTGTTGTTTGGTTTTCTATTCCTGTGTTAGTTTGCTGAGAATGATGGTTTCCAGCTTCGTCCATGTCCCTGCAAAGGACATAAACTCATCCTTTTTTATGGCTGCATAGTATTCCATGATGTGTATGTGCCAAATTTTCTTTATCCAGTCTGTCATTGATAGGCATTTGGGTTGGTTCCAAGTCTTTGCTATTGTGAATAGTGCTGCAATAAACATACGTGTGCATGTGTCTTGATAGTAGAATGATTTATAATCCTTTGGGTATATACCCAGTAATGGGATTGCTGGGTCAAATGGAATTTCTGGTTCTAGATCCTTGAGGAATCACCACACTGTCTTCCACAATGGTTGAACTAATTTACACTTCCACCAACAGTGTAAAAGCGTTCCTATTTCTCCACATCCTCTCCAGCATTTATTGTTTCTTGACTTTTTAATGATCGCCATTCTAACTGGCATGAGATGGTATCTCATTGTGGTTTTGATTTCCATTTCTCTAATGACCAGTGATGATGAGCTTTTTTTTCATATGACACACAATTTTCTAAAGTGGTTGTGCCATCTTATACTTGCACAAGCAGTGTCTGAGAGTCCAAGTGTTCCTCATTCTCACCAGCACTTGGTTTTGTCAGTCTTTTACATTTTAACCATTCTAGTTGGTGTGAAATGGTATCTCATTTGGTTTTTACTTTGCACTTGTGACAACTAATTATGTTGAACACCTTTTCATGTGCTTTTTGGCTAGTCTTATATTTTTTGTGTGTCTGTATGAAATGTCTATTTAAGTCTTTTGCCCCAATTTTTAATTGGGTTGCTTGTCTCTTTATTATTGATTTGAGGAGTTACTTGTATATTCTGGACACAAGTTGTTGTTGAATGTATGCATGAAAATATTTTCTACCGGTCTGTAGCTTGCCTACTATTGATTTTCCTAACTGTGTCCTTCAGTGGGCTGGCTTTAAGATTTTAGTGAAGAGATTTTGGGTTTGGTGTTAGGAGTAATGGGCCCTCACCCATTTTATAGCTGATGATGTTAATTTTTATTGGCGTGCTGATGGGCATTATAACCACACTTTCTTTTCAAGGCATTGTACACTGTCTTAAAAGAAAACTTCCAAAGGAAAACTCAAGACTTTTCCATAGTAACAGTGACTGTGTTATTGGGTATGAAGATTCCAGGTATATTAGATCTCTCTGAGTAGCAACTGCTAGTGTGTAATAGAAGCCCATGTGGGAAGATCAAGCCCTGTCCTTTGCCAGTTATGTATTCTCCTTTTCCAAGAAACTGTGGCATAATCATAAATGATACAGTGCAGGAGGGGACATATTCTATATGCTGCTCAAGTCAAGTCCAGTAAACACTGAGGAATCCAGCCTGGGAAACAGTAACAACAGCAGCTTCCATTAGTATTTTCCCCAAAATCTGATGGCAGGCTGTATCCAAATTAACAATAAAAGGAAAGAAGCCAAACTTCTCTTGGAGAGAAGAAGGAATTCCCCCTAGGTAAAGTGGCATCATGTGATATTAAACACTGACTCAAAATGGGTCTTGGGAAATGCTTTCAAGCTTGACTTGGAATAACAATAGTTAAAGAACAAGGTTTCTTGTTCATATGTGAACTCATTTACCAGCCAACTCTGACATATCAGCTACCTGAATTGACGCTTGGTTCTAACACTGATAATTATTTCCTCTAATCTTTTGTATTTGCAGTAAGATTTAATTTTCTTAATAATCATGGCTCTCAAGTTGAAAAGCCTGCATAATGTCTAACTTGTACTAAGTAAATACTGGCTTCTCAGTTGACTACTATCAATTTTTTAATTATTCAGAGTAATATTTGTAATAATTAACTTTAGAGAAAAGCACATGGAAAATCTTTGTGTATGTATTCTTTAGTACCTAACGTGTTCAGAACTGAAAAAAGGACCCATCTTTATGTCCATTTGCATACTGTGATTTCTGGATAGTAAAGGCTCTGAGCTCCTTGATGTACCTGGGTTTCACTTATATTCCAGAGTTCTCCATTTGTTTATTTGCTGCTGATCCCACAAAACTAAAAGAAAAAAAATGAGAGTGGCTCAAGGAGGAAATAGCTAGGGCTTAATGTAATGTGTGGATGAAAGATAAGGGAGTAAGAATTATTTTCAAAGAGGAAAAAATAAGGACTTGAGGTTATTGAGAAGACTTAAGAGTCAATGGCATCCCTCAGCACAATTTTAACAACTCTAAAATGTGAAAAAAAGTTTGTCACATTAAAAACACGGTTCTGATCTTTTTAAAAAAAAATTCGTCTTGGAAGAGAATATGAGGTTTTAAAATTAGATAAAACTTTGTCTGAATTTAGCTGTTATCTTTTACTAACTGTCCATTCTCTTGCCATTTCAGGTAAACCTCTTTGTGCTGCTGTCTGTGGTTTGCGTCCTCTTAAATCTAGCTGGATTTATCCTAGGCTGCCAAGGGGCCCAGTTTGTGTCCAGCGTCCCCAGGTGTGATCTGGTAAGCAGTCCTAAAACATCACCAGGCATCTAGGCAGACCCTGGCTTGTCAGGTGTTCCTGGCGAGACTTGCAACATTCAGCACCAGGCAACTGTCCTGAAGTGAAACCTGAAATGGGTAAAAGGAAGTGGGAAAACAAAACAAAGAGCTGCCTGCTGATTATTTCACCCAAGTTGTCGATTACTTTTTCCAAAGCAGGGACCAGCCAGCAAAACCCCGGAACCATAGTGATATAATGCATCATTAGTTAGTGAATAGATGGATCAGGTGTCCACAAGCAATCAGTCTCTGACTGTCCTCATCTAAAGAGAAAAAAAATGGATATTTGGATATTGCCAGAATACAGGTCAACAGTCTTTTATCTGAAACCTTTGGAGGCCAGGTGTGTGTCAGCATTTAGAGTTTTTCCAATTTTAGAAGATTAAATATTTTGCATATACTATTTATTATATAGCATGCCAGTGGAGTCTGGGACAGCAGGCTGTTATCATGACTTCTAGTTTTCAGAGCTTTTTGGATTTCAGCATTGTGAGTAAGAGGTTGTGGACTTGTACCATCTCTGAACTTAAAAGAAAAAAATTTTATTGTAAAATACACATAGCATGAAATTTACCATCTTAACCATTTTGAAGTTTAAAGTTCAGTAGAGGTAAGTATATTCACATTATTACACAACCAATCTCTAGAACTCTTTTCATTTTGCAAAACTGATAGTCTATGCATATTAAACAACAACAGCTCCCCATCCTCCAGCCCCTGGTAACCACCACTTCACATTCCCTTTCTATGAATTTGAGTACCCTAGGTACCTCATACAAGTAGGATAATACACTGTTTGTCTTTTTGTGACTGGATTATTTCACTTAGCATCATCTCCTCAAGGTTCATCATGTTGCAGCATGTGTTAGAATTCCCTTCCTTTTTAAGACTATGTAATATTCCATTGTATGTACCTGATACCTTTTGTTTATCCATTAATCTGTGATGGATATTTAAGTTGGCCCCTACTCTTGGTTATTGTGAATAACATTGCAATAAACATGGGCATGCAAATATGTCTCTGAGATCCTGGTTTTAATTCTTTGGGATATGTAACCAGAAGTGATCATTTGGTAATTCTATTTGAAATTTTTTGAGGAAGGTTTGTATCGGTTTTCATAGCAATGGCACCATTTAATATTTCCACCAACAGTGCACACAGGTTCCAATTTCCACACATCTTCAGTGACAGTTGTTATTTTCTGCTTTTTTTTTTTTTAAAGTGGCCATTCTAATGAGTATAAGGTGATACCTCATTTGGTTTCGATTTGCATTTTCCTTATGATTAGTGATGTTGATAGTCTTTTCATATGCCTGCTGGCTATTTGTATGTCTTCATTAAAGGAAGAACGTCTATACAAGTCTTTTGCCCATTTTAAAATTGAGTTATTTTTTTTTTGTTATTGAGTTGTAGAAGTTCTTTATATATTCTGTATATCAGAATATGGTTTGCACTAAGTCTATTTTTAATAAATTTTTTTTCTACCACAAAACCAACTCTGTGATTATTTCTGATGATATAATTATAAAAGTTTGGGCAAGCCATGAAAGTATAAGGCAGAACTTAAATATCATTTGAATTCCCACTATCCCTGGATAACAGTTTGGCCATGTGTTAAGCATCTCTTTATGCACAAAAATGCACATAGTCAACAGGATCATGTTATAAGTGTTGTTTTCCTTTGGGGAAATTATTGACAAATGAAACCTTTTCGGGCAAGGGGTTGTTCTTTCCTCTTTCCCGCTCTGCCTGTATCTGTCGCCCCAAATCCTTAGTAACAGGCTGGGAAATTATATTTCTTAATGTTTTCATGGTCATGTAATATTACATAAGTATGTATGGGGTGGGGTTGTTCATGATTTTTAAAAAATGGGCATATTGTATGTACTTCCCTGCATCCTGTTTTTATCACTTAAAGATGTATCACTTAGAGAAGAGTAAATACAGACTAACACCCTTAATTTCTTCTACCAAGTTAGTTCCTTATTTTGTTATTGCCTGCTGTGGCTTGGGTTTTGACCAATAGACACAGTGCTGCCATTAATATCATTCTGTATATCCTCAGGGAGATTTTAGTTCTAAGCGGAGTAGGTTCCCAGGACAAGGAATTGTTCTCAGCAGTATCTTGTCTCCTGCCTGTCTCATTTATTATTACAAATTCAACCATTTTATTGTTCTATCCATTGTTTTTAAATTGGGGTAAAAGTTATAGTGAAAAACACAAATCTTAAGTGTGCAGTTCATTATAAGTTTTGACCAATGTATACATTTATTTTGACAAATGTATACACTCATACTCCAGTCTCTATACTGCAAACAAAATATTGTTTGTTGTACTCCAAACAGTATTTCTATCACCTTAAAAAGTTCTTTAGTTTCTCTTTTCAGGCAGTCTCTACTCTCTCATAGGCAACCACTGTTCCTATTTCTTTCACCATAGGTTAGTTTTGCCTGTCCTTGAACTTCATATAGATGGAGTCACGTGGTTTGAACATTTTTGTGTCTGACTTATTTTGCTCAGTAATGTTCTTGAACTTCATCCATATTTTTGTATTGTATCTGTTGTTTGTTCCTTTTTTTCAGGACACTATTTCATTTTATAAAAATACCAGAATTTGTTTTTTGTTTTTTTTTGTTCTCCTGTTGATGGACATTTAGATTGTTTCCGGTTTGGGGGTATTATGAACAAAGCTGCTGTGAGCATTGTTGTTTTGGGAAGGCACTTTTCATTTCTCTTGAGTGAATACCTAGGCATGGAGTTGCTGGATCATGTGGTGCTAAAGAATTTTCCAAAGTGGTTGGGGACGTAGTTATAATTTAAAATGGATAGTCAGTTCCTTCATTAAAGGGCTTAAACTCCCCAGTGACTGGTGAGTTTCTACTAGTGGCTCTCCACATCTCCACCGGCAAAGAGAGCTTCTCTCTCTTTAAAGTTTTGCCAGTCTGATGAGGCCAAAGGGAGAGCTTGCTGTCACTTTAATTTGTAGTTCCCTGAGTGCTAAAGATGGCGTCATCGGTTTTTAAAACGCTCTCCAGAAAATTCAAATGTGCTGGTAGGGTTAAGAATGCTACTGTTGAAAGGCGACGGGGGGAAGACAAGGATCTGACCTCTTCAGGCAATAGCATCAAGAATGCAGGGTGGATGTTCATTATTTAGGATCAGGGAGACTGCTACAGATTTGTTTGTGGATAGGCTAAAGTGACTGATGAGAAGCAAGAGTAAGTTTTTAGAAATATTGGGCAGAGATGGGATTAAGAACGGAGGTGAAGGTATTAGATTCTGCAAGGATCAGGAGTAGGGGAGCAGGAACGCACAATGCACAGTTGCCTGGAATCGTTTTGTACAGAGTCTGAGGGCTTCTTTGTATCCGGTGGGAAAATTAGTTGGTATTCATGATCATTTGTATAATGAGTAAACTTTCAAATAGATTTGTTTAAAGGGATTAAATTTCACCCATCTGGAAAATTTTGCCATCCAGACTGGCTCACTGCAGAGGTTCTAGGTAGCTGAAGTTTCTGAAGAGCTGGACATCTATGTTATATGGATAAAGCACTCACATGGGTGCAGCCCACATAGGCCTGGTTTCCCACTTAACTAAACGCTTTGTATCAAGAATGGACTTGTTTGGGAAGGGAGTACTTTGTAAGATGATGCCTAGTATTGTCTGAGAGAGAGAGAGAGCTTTCAGGTTAAGATCTTGAGGCTTGCACCAAGTCCAAAAAATGAAAATCAGAGTGCATCGTGTTGGAAAAAGAAAGTGAGTTTGGTTCTTTTTGGGGAAGAGTGGGACTCGTGTACATGAGCAGAATGGAGGCTGATACTTCGTCTCATTTAGCTGCTTATTTGTTAGTACTAAACGGGATTAGTGTAAAAACAGGAAGTTCTTAGCTGGAGACTTTAAAGGAGAAAGGAGGAATATTAAAATTCCCTTTGTTTTGGGAAAGCCACTGAAGTGTAGGTTTTGGTTGTTACCATGCCATACCCTAGCCCATCCTGACCGAGAGAGGCATTGCCTGACACAGAACCCTGCCATAACCTCATTCTACAGGATTAGTGCTCCATGGTGGAGCCGGGGTGGTTTTCTTAATAATTAAAGTATTTTTCTACCTTTCCTCCATTAAGGTGGACTTAGGTGAAGGCAAGATTTGCTTCTGTTGTGAAGAATTTCAACCAGCCAAGTGCACAGACAAAGAAAACGCCTTGAAACTCTTTCCAGTTCAGCCCTGTAGTGCTGTACACCTTCTACTTAAGGTACCTCGAACAGATTCCCACCCCCACGGTAAATACACCACGGATCCCCAAAGAAGGCAAAATTACTTGAAATATTCCTGTTCTGTTACCTGCTTCAAACAGTTAAGCTGCTGAAAGCACATGTGAGTGACCCCAGAGACAGAATTGAATGCAGAAAGAACCACAGATCATTGTGTGTGTTAAATTATGTATGGACAGCCTTCTTTGTGCTGAAGAACTGTAAGATAGTAAAAAATGGAAAGGAGCCTGACTATATATATGTATATGTATACACATACACACACACATATGCATACGTACGTATGTATACATATGCACATATATACGGTGTAGCTGTTAGCAAAACCTTTAAGTTGCACACTCATGTGTCATTGTTCTGATGCTCATTTGTTTGCTTACGTGGGTCATATGCACCACTGAGTACTACCAGTCTGCAACACATAGACTAAGGAGAGAGATTGGCCAGAAAATATGGGGGAATTGAAGCACCTTAGCTCTTGTTTAATAGGCAACAACTATAATAAGCAAAAGAGATTAAACAAACGGATGATCCCAGTTGAAGAGAAGTACAAAATTAGCCTTCATCAGGGAGTTGCATAAAATGTGTGCCCTGACTTAAGGAACATTAGCTCAGTGAGTGACAACATCGGCTGGTGAACCCTGAGGCATGGCTTTTAGAGAATCCACTTCCACCGGTTTTCTTTAGATATTTGTTTTGGGTTTCATTTTGGTGGGGAGGAAGAGTCTCCAAGCAAAGAGAGAACTGTTCCAAGCTACCAGCTCTGGGTTGTGTGGGATGTAGAAATGGCCTGCTTTCCATGGCTTCTGCATTTTTGATAGCTGAGTCACCCCCAAACTTTCGGAGCCAGGACTTAGCTTGGGGAAAGCCCCACTAAAGGAGCCAGGACTGTACCAACAGAAGTGTTTGGAATGGCTTTTGCTATTTTGAGATGTGTGTTTAGTGGAGAGAAGTCCTATTTCCACTCTGGCTGGGCCGGCCCCTGCAGCGTCCTCGTCGTGTGCATGGGGCCGCACAGCCAATTGCTCTTGAAATAGAATCAGTGGCCACAAATTAAGCAGTGCGCTGTGCAGGTGGGAGGCTGTGGGAGGGAGGAGGCTGGGAATTGCTATCCCTGGGGAAATCAGCCTCAGAAGAGAAACTCACTGCTCTCCTGGAAGGAGTGTTTCCTGACAGTATTCTGATGCTTGCAAAAAGAAATACTGTCATACCAGGGCGTTCTGTGACCGGGAGCTTCTAAGAAAAGTTTTTGGAATTAAGAAGTGAGCATTAATGCATGAGGGTCATAATAATAGCCAGCATTTATGTGGGCGCTTTCCACGAGCCAGACACCACCTAAATCCTTTACATGCAGCCTCTCCTGAGAATTGTCTTATGGAGGCAACGTTATTATTATTTTTAAGATTTTCTACATGATATTCTGGTGATGTGTGTTGAAGGACTTAGTGGTGCCCTTGTTTCCTTGCCCCAGAAAGTCCTCTTTGCCCTGTGTGCCTTGAATGCCCTGACCACCACCGTCTGCTTGGTGGCCGCCGCCCTCCGCTACCTCCAGATATTCGCAACCAGGAGATCCTGCATCGTAAGTCATGGCCATGTTTCTGCTGAGCCAGCCCATGGACCCCTCCGTGTCCTCCACTGCCTCTCTCCCCGTGCCTTTGTAATGAAGACACTTCACTAACCGAGCTGCTGTTTAATTAGGATGAATCCCAGATTTCTGCTGAAGAAGTGGAGGATCATGGACGCATCCCGGACCCTGATGATTTTGTGCCGCCTGTGCCTCCCCCTTCCTATTTTGCCACATTTTACTCGTGCACACCCCGGATGAACCGCAGGTATCATTCCTGAGTTCCCCTGCAGTCTGAGTGGAGTGCTGTAGGTTCTGAAGACTGAAGTGTCTCCAGAACTCACAGCATGAGATCTCACTTTGCTTTGAAAAAGAAAAAGAAAAATTGTTTCTGACTTAAGGAACATTAGCCCATTGAGTGACAAAATCAGCTAGTGAACCCTGAGGTATGGCTTTTAGAGAGTCCACCTCTGCCAGCCTTCTTTAGAAAACTGAAAAACAATTGTGCTGTTTTTCAGGGGTTTCTATTCTCTCTGTCACTCTCTCTGTTTTCTGTCTTACTTTGTCTGTCTCTTTTTGTCTGATAAAACAGATGAATCCAAAGAAAAGTTAAACTTTGACCTAAAGGTAGACATTTTCAAGTTCAATTAGCTTTCTAAGGGAAACTGACACCCAGGGAGATAACAGCTGTAATTTGACATGATTTAGAGTCACTGTTGCCTTGGAAACACTCCCAGTTAGGCCAAATCGATGTTTCATTGTAATACCATCAGCAGGTCTCAACAATCAGAAATTCTTCCTAGCCATTAAAAAGAGATTAATTATTAATTGTCTCTCCCTGGTCTAGAAAAAATAGATACTGTACTTACTTTCCTTTTCAAATTTCAAACTCAAAATTTTGACCTTCTTAAATATCAAGGATTTTTATTGGTACATTGAAATGCCACATATATTTGTCTGATTGTTAGCAACTTCTAGAAACAAACCTTTTTTAAAAGAATGACTTCATTTATTCATTCAACAAACATAGAATCCTCTGTGCTGGGTTACTGGAATTCAAAATGAGTTAGACCTGCTTCCTCGCCTACCATTAAGGAGCTCACAGTCTAGGTCATTAAAATGTGTTGGAAGGATCACAGTAGTATTCAAAAGAGGGACTTTGGGTGCACAGAGAAGGTCCAGCTCACCCAGAGTGGCGAGGCAGTCAGAGGTGGCTTCCTGGAAGAAGTGACGTTAAGCTGAGTTTAAAGGATAAGCAAACCTCTGTTGAACTTTCTGAAAGAGAATCTCTCAATTCCACGAAAATACTAGTGTCTTTGGCTTCATATTCAGAGGGCCAGAAATTTCTATTTTTTTAATCCCTGTAGTACATGTAGAGACTTATCAAACCAACTTGGTGCTGAGCTTGAGGTTTTTAGAGAAGTATTTTCTAATGTCCAGGGTGACTGTATGTGACTTTGAGATGGGTCACCAGTGGGGCTGCCACCCAGACACTGTTAGTGTTCTTTTCAGTGACTTAGCTGCTGACTCGTCCCTTAGAGTTATACCTGAACCCTACCTCTATACCCTCCCCAGCTCACTTGCCCAGGCAGCGGCAGAGATGACCGCAAAGCTGGAGGGGGTGTCAGCTGGGTGACAGGTGGCTTGGGCTAGGCCTGTGGGACAGCTTGGCCTCTCTGGTGTTCAGGGAGTGGCCTCTACTGGAATTTCACAGCCTCAGGGGCTGGGATGACTTCCCTAATCTTTCAGGAAATGAGCCAAGAATGACAGAGGATGAAGAGATACAGCAGCAAAACACATGTTCTTTCTGTACCTGAGGACACATTTGCGAAAATCTTAGCACCATCTCAGGCTGTCTGTAGAGGATACATTGGAGGATAGTAAAAATGACTGATATTTCTTGGTGGGGATGCGAAATACCCTCTCCAATAAGAGGAATTCTTTGACGCTGAGGTTGCAGATGAGCACTCTGTTGACCTAGGAGGAGGCAACAGACAGATTTAGTTTCTGCAGTGGCAGAAGGGGAAAGTGACTCATGTGGGTTTAGGAGCTGAGCCATCCAGCAGTGTGCTCTGAGCACTCCCGACCTTCCTGTCTCCTCGCTTTCCTTTCTCTTCTCTGCTTCACTGTAATAGTGCTCATCACTGCAGATATTTCCATTCTTCAAAATCTAGGTACATCCTCGGATTTGTCTCTCTGAGTCTTGAGACAACCTCTGGCCAAATCTAGGTTGGAAGAAAACAGACAAGCTTCTCATCAAGGGCTTTATCATTCAGAACTTTCTAGAAAGAAGGCAGAAGGAGGGAGTTAAATCTAAACAGTCTTGTGAGAAAGAAGACATTGCCCAGTCTAAAACGTGCCCAGAGCCCTATAATCATATTGCCAGTGGGCAAACACCTTAATTTTTGGAAATTTTACCAATATCAGAGTGCAGTCCACGTTCCTTTTCAAAAGGGCTGAATTTATTCACATTTAAATACATGTCCTATCAAAAATATTTTAAAATGTGACCAACTTTGCTAGATTCACAGTATAAATCAACTTTATAGACACTAATGGTTTAACCTCAGCTGGTAATTTTCTTTCTCATAAGCAGGCAGGCAAGAATATTCACGAATGTTTTTGTTACTATTTCTACGATCAGTTTTATCCAGAGTTTTCACACAACAGAGGCTCCCCATTTCCTGTAAGGTATTATGACCTCTCAGAAGAGGTTGATTTAACTTCTATAAATACAACCACTTCATGCGTTGGCATCTCCTTGAGAAAAGGCTTCTCGAGTTACTGTCATAAACGGAAGCCTGACTGCAGTTGAGGTTTCTGTCCAAAGATGGATTCGCTGCTTTGTGAATTGATTTGTGATACAGGAGGGGGCCGTGCACCCCACCTCCACTACTCCGGGGTGTCTTTCTTCTCAGAAGTTGGCTTGAGCCAGGAATCAAGGAGTCTCCAACCTATTTCTTGAACATGGACCTGGTTTTTACTCTGGGGATATACCCTATTAAAGAAAACTGAAGACTGAGGGGGTCTTGGGCATTGATATGGTTGACATGGGCATGTCTTAAAGCAGAGCCCCCACAAAACCCCACTCATTTCCTTTCCTAAGAATTTCCAAATCCAAATTCAAGCGGAGTCCGGCAATGCTGGGGTTGAGTCTGTGCTCAGCTCTAGAGAGGGGGCGGGAGGGCCCTTCCCTGTCTCCCACTCCGCGAGCAGCAACCCTGTACCCAGTCACAGGGCGCAGTTTTCCAGTACAGGAGGAGGAGGATTCTCTGGTCAACGGTGTATTCGCTGCTGCATTCCCCCTGAGTAAGTCTTCAGGGCCTATTTGTAGCCTGAAAGCAGAACATGCTTCGCATTTCCGTCTTCAGTGCTCCTGAGCCTGCACCAGTGAAGGCTTCCTGGGGACTTGGTGATGAATTCGAAAGAGCCCAGGCTCTAGAGTCTCTGCAGAGGGTGACCCAGGATGAGTCTCTCACCATTTCTGAGCCTCAGTTTCCTCATTCACCTTCGTTGTCATGTGGCTGCGGGGAGTATTGTTATGAGATAATGGACCTAAGAAGCTTTCTGAAAAGAGCATCTTAGACTGGGCTTTCCCAGTGTTAGTTCTGGGTTTTAAAATGCTCTCAGTATGTGTCCTGCTCTTAAGAAACACTTAGCTCTTAACCTTAGCCTGACCTTATTAGGCAACTGTCTTCTGAAGACCCTCATTCTTAATAAAAATTTGATCAACTTTCCCAGTAGAACAGGGCTTTAATTTCAATCACCGTTATCCATTTGCTTTTGCAATGGTGCGCCATCTTGGCGGTGTATTAGAATCCCCTAGGAGCGCTGACAACGGGCAGATTCCTGGGCCCCACCATAGGCGATGAGAGCAGAATTTCTAGAAGTGAGGCCTGGGCCATCCAGAGTTTTAGAACCTCCCAAGGTGATTCTACCCACCTTGCCAGGACTGAGAG